GTCATGAATCCACTTTAAGTTACTTCTTGCACATGATGTAAAGTAAGGGTTCATCTTCATTCCTTTGTATGTGGACATCAAATTTCTTCTGTATTGTTTATTTGAAGAGACTGTCTTTTTCCCATTGCATAGTCTTAGCATCCATATTGAACATCATTTGACCATATATTTGAAGGTTTGTTTGTGGCCTCTCCATTCTCTGTTGCCTTATACATATGTCTTTATGGCAATACTGTTTTGTTTTGATTAAGGTACCTTGGTAACAAGTTTCATAATCATGCAATGTAACAACACCTCCAGCTTATTTATTTCCACTTTGTTTTGCGATTGAAGCAGTTATGTAATTTTATATTAATTTTAGGATGAATCATGTGGAAAACTTCGCTGGTATTTTGCTCAGAATTTCACTCAATCTGTAGCTTTCTTTGGATATTACTGTCATCTTAACTTTAAGTCCTCCAAACCATAAACATGGACTCTTTTTGCATTATTTGCATCTTTAATTTCAGCAATATTTTATAGATTTCTGTGTAGAAATTTTCCCTCTTTGTTAAGCTTATTCTTAAGTATTTAATTCTTTTTGATGTCATTGTAAACTTAATTATTTTTCTAATTTTGGGGATATGATCTATTTTTTGGTGGTGTGTTCTAAACACATCTGTTATGTGTAATGGGTCTCTTGTGGTGTTTGAGTCCTCTTTCCTTAGTGTTCCACTTGATGTTATTCATTTTTCAAAATGATGTATTGAAATCTACTTCTATATTGTGGAGCTATTTTTTCATTTAATTTTTCATTCTATATTTAGTTTGTGTGTGTGTGTGTGTGTGTGTGTTTGTTGGTTTTTTTGGTTTTTTTTTTTTTGAGATAAGAGTTTCACTCATTACTCAAGCTGAAGTGTGCAGTGGCATGATCTCAGTTCACCACAACCTCTGCTTCCCAGGTTCAAATAATTCTCCTGCCTCAGCCTCCGAAGTAGTTGGGATTACAGGCATGTGTCACCAGGCCTGGCTTCTTTTTTTTTTTTTTTTTTTTTT